TTTTTTTTTTTTTTTTTTTTTAAAATAATAATTTAGTAACGTGGAAACTAAAAACTTAGAATGGACAGGTGGAACGTTGATGCCATGTTTGTGTGTAGCTGACATGGAAGTACGACCCATAACTCCATGTCCATCTGTACTTTGAATCCTTCCATATCCCGAACCCAACAAAGCCTCCTCTTCCTCCTCATCTTTCTGCTATATATTAGTTTAATTATATTACATTTATTCATCTCCTTCCTCCTTGCCTTCCCTATTCAAATTCTCCATTCTTCTTCTGCAACAGAGTTCCAATTTTGAAGGATTCACAACCAGCCACCATGATCCACAGAAGCCTCTTCTCCCGCTGCTTTCTCCCATCTCTTCGCCTCCCTTCTTCCTCGTCAAAGGTTCGAGAAAATCCCTTGCCTTTCTCTCCTTTATTTTCGGATTATTTTTTCATGTAATGCATCATTAGTTCTCTTTGTTTCATTCTGGTTTTTTATGCCCAAATTTCATGGATGAGTACTGAAACTGAGTTTAATATTCATCATTATTTATTGTTTTTTGTTTTTTTAAAAAAAGAGAAATCCAATTTGGAAGGAAGTTGAGTAATCGTCATGATCTTGATTTCTCGATAAAGAGAGTCTAAGTGATCCTCATGATCTTGACGTTGTTTTGTCTTTTTCTTCTTAATACTAACTTTTTATTTTATATGTGAATAGATTGAGTTTAAGCTTCTTTATTTTTTATAATTTCGAATTTTAAAGCAATTTTTAAAAAATAATAAATCATATGAGTGGATAGGATAAGTCATGACGTGGATTAGTACCCAAATTTATTTCTTATTTTAATTTTGACCAATCTCATCTTGAAAAACAAAACATCCTAATTTTTTATATTTATTTATTAGTTTATTACAAATCTAAATTCAAAATTATGCATAAATCTTCGCCGACATTTTGGATTATATCAAGTTGTGGTCTACGTGAATCTATTCTTATCAAGCAAAGAAAAAGGAAAAAGGACATAACTTTTAATGAATGAATGAATTTTATATCGAGAAACATGTGTCTATTTCTTAAAAAAAAAAAAAAAAAAAAATAGAATAAGCAATAAACTAGCTAACGATTTTATCTTTATTTTATTATATAAAATTAAAAATAATAATTAGGTGTGGAATAGGTTCAAAAAATTATAATTTTATTTAAGTTGAATTAAAATAAATAAAAACTTTACCAATTTGATATATTTAATTAATCTAAATAATCTGGTGAAGAAAATAGGTAAAAACTTTTCAACGTATTAATTATATTATACTGAGCCAATCGCTAAACGGTCCCCCAAGAAGGCGTTGGACGTCTAGAAACCGTCGGGCGTTCCGTAATCCACACTTCTTTTCTCTTTTGTTTTGGTTTTGTCGTATACTGTTGTTGTTGTTTTGATGTTTATCGATAATTCTGGAAATTTGGACGTTCCATAATCTTCTTATTTTCCATCTGGGTTTATCATCTTTGTTTTTATTCTGAATTCTGTAGATGAAAACGAAATGGGTGATTGGATTTTCTTAATTTTGGGATTCTTTTGTTTGATTTTAAAGAAAATAGTTTTGATTAGTGCAGCTTGGAGGAGGCTGCCATGGCGATGCGTTTAGGGCAATATCTTCCATGCCGGAGCCTTGCCGATCATCGCCCATCAGGTACTTCAAATGCGACCCATAACCTTGTTAATGCTGAGGTTGTTGAAATGCTGAGATTGGGTGTCTCTGTTTAATTTCAGTGATGGTGATAGCTGCGATTTTGATTGGGATAGTCTTGGATTTGGGCTGATGCCAACAGATTATATGTATATTATGAAATGCGCTATAAATGAGAGTTTTGAACGAGGTCAAATCAGCCGTTATGGGAACATTGAGCTTAGCCCTTCTGCTGGGGTTCTAAATTATGGCCAGGTAGCTTATGATTTCATACCATTTTTGGAAGCATTGAACTTGGTATCTTGTTTGTGTTTGTTTATTTTGAGTGATAGAAAAGCAATACGATGAAAGGGTTAACAGAGTTTAAGGAATGGTGTTGAAAATTTGAATAGGGATTGTTTGAAGGTCTAAAAGCATATAGGAAAGACGATGGAGGGGTTCTTCTGTTTCGTCCACACGAAAACGCCCTCCGTATGAGGGCTGGCGCTGACCGAATGTGTATGCCGTCGCCCACCGTCGAGCAATTTGTTGATGCTGTGAAGCAAACTACCATTGCTAATAGGCGTTGGGTACTCCTCTCTCTCTTTGTACCTATTTCATTGAGAAGTAAGTGTTGAGCTTGGTTGATTGATTGCACTTTACAGGTCCCTCCGCCGGGGAAAGGGTCACTTTACATAAGGCCTTTGCTCATTGGAACGGGTCCCATTCTTGGGTTGGCACCCTCCCCTGAGTATACTTTTCTAGTGTTTGCTTCCCCTGTTCGCAACTATTTTAAGGTGGGAACTCCTTCAATGAAGCTAATATCTCTACACATAAAAGAACACATGATTCATCTACACACTCCTGGTTTGTTCTAAACAGGAAGGTTCGGCGCCCTTGAACCTATATGTCGAGAACGAATTCGACCGAGCATCTCGTGGCGGAACCGGAGGTGTGAAAAGCATTTCGAATTATGCTCCGGTAAGTATTGAGCAATGAATAGAATTGTTGCATGAATTGCATATGTTCTGATATGTTTTCCTGTGTAGGTGTTGAAAGCTATAACCCGAGCGAAAAGCCGAGGCTTTTCTGATGTGTTATACCTTGATTCAGTGAATAAGAGAGATGTGGAGGAAGTTTCTTCCTGCAACATTTTTATTGTAAAGGTATCTTTGTTACAAAACTGTTCTTTCTTTCAATCTAAGGGCGACAGATTTATTAGCAACATTGTTATAGTAATACTGAAATGATAGAATGTAATTGTTTCCATTTCCATAGGGCAATGTTATTTCAACTCCTGCTACACATGGAACGATTCTTCCAGGAGTAACCCGGAAAAGCATCATTGACATTGCCCGTGATCGCGGTTACGAGGTCATATCTCATCCCGAATCAAGAATGTAGGAGTTCCAGGAGTAATTCTTAATGTTATCATAATGGCCATATCGATGTTATACAGGTCGAGGAACGGGCTATTAACGTGGAAGAAGTGTTGGACGCTCGTGAAGTTTTCTGCACGGGAACGGCTGTCGGGGTGGCTCCTGTTGGGAGCATCACATGTATGGATAGAAGGTAATCTAACTGCTAAATGCTAATGCACTGTGATTGCTTTGCTCCAACTACAAATTACATTGGGGAATGTTTAAGGAATTGATTGTAAATTGTGCAGGATTGAGTACCAAACAGGTGCGGAGACGACATGCCAGGAACTGTATTCAACTCTTGTTGGGATTCAAACTGGAACCATTGAGGATAAGATGGGATGGACTGTTGAGATCTGTTGAGTTGTTCATCGCCCCCTCTGCGTTGAAAGGTTTAATGTATAAATTGGGGGATTGTAAGCAAATATTTGGAGTGATTAATGTGGATTGGACAATAATATTGTGTAGGCCAAAAATTGGGGACAGCCCATTGAATTTTGTGAATAATAATTGTGAATGGACTGCCTTTTCATTAACTACATGGTGGGCGAGTTATGGTGTCAGCAAAGGACCAATGCTTCAACCTATGGACTACCTTTTATTGTTATTATAGCCGATGAATTTTTAAACTTTTTTCAACTATCGTATCTTCGACATTGATATATATTGTTTCTTTTGACCCGTTACGTATCGTCATCAGTCTCACTGTTTTAAAACGTGTCTATTAGAGAGGTTTTCACACTCTTATTATAAAGAAATTTTTCGTGTTGGGATCTCACCGTTATTATATTAGAGAATGGTGGGCTTGGGCTTGAGCTTGGACTTGGGCTTGGGCTGTTACAAGATCCTTCTCGTTTGGACTTTACTCAAGTATCACACTTAGAGATTAACGTTTTAATGCATAGAACTTTAGAAGTGTGAAATGAATTGAAAGATCCCTCGACCTATAATACAATTTATGATGTGTCGGACATGGGTGCGTTGAGCTTTATTTTAATATCATAAATAAGCGACATTATATTGAAGAAAAATATACATAAATAAAGACCGACATGCACAGCTATAGATTGGAAGCTGAAAAAGGAAAAAGAACACACATCAACAAATTCAAGTCTTGGTAATATTTATCGCCTGTTCCTTTGACTGATATACCTCGGAAGTTCAAATTCTAACTGAATAAAACATGCATGTTCCTCACCGTCACCTACATAATTTTTAAATTCAATAAAAACATGGAAATAGGTTAAAAAAATTTAAAATACTATATTCTACTCGATATTGTCAGCTTGGGCTCGTTACGTATAGTCGTCAGTCTCACGATTTTAAAACGCATCTACTATAGAGAGGATCTAGCTCTATTCTGATTAGTGTGTCTCGCACAGTCTAGTAACTGGCTCTGGTACGTCAACCTCACGACTTTATTTCTTTTTTTTTTTTTTTTTTGTCCTTTCACTTNCCAAATAATTGTGATTATTACTTATCAATCTTTTTTTTCCAAGTTTTACCATTGGGGTTTGGTTTGAAGATTGAAGTTTGAAGGTGTCTAAGAATTTCAATTATTGTTGTTTCTTCACTTCCTTTTCTCCTTATTATTCAAAACCCTCAATAAAGGGATTGATTGGTTGATTGATTGGGTTTATAATGACGGCGAGGCTTGTTGATAATCAATTCAATAATCACTTAAACGTATAATTCAAGAGTGAAGAGGAAGGAGCAACATTGTATGCCCATTTATAGGGTTAATTGGGAAAAAGGAAACAAAGGAGCCAACCAAGTCAAACCCACTTTGAACCTCATTCATTATCATTATCCTATCACTGTCTTTCAAATTGAAAGATGGATCATATTCTGTCAACAAAAACAAAAAACAAGACGTTTTTCAACCAGAAAAGGATGGTCAACTAATGTAATTATGATAACCTTGATTAATCTACCAAGCATGCACACATTTGTTCGCCAACATATGATTATGAAGTTCTCATTAGCTTTTAATCACAAACATTTAAGGAAGTTACACAAACATAGTGGAGTACTCTAATTAGTTCCAACGTTAGAGATAACATTAGAACATTCTAAGTTCATTGATGTTGTATTTTTTGGATTTGCTCGAGGTTTTTCTATCTGGGTGATTTTAAAACGCGTCTACCGAGAAAAGATTTTGATTTTTACACCCTTACAAGGAATGTTTCATTCTCTTCTCCAACCGATGTGGGATCTCACATAACAACTTGACATGAACTAGAGATATGAATTGGGTTTATCCGTCATCGTTCCTGACCCCATTTCATTCTCGTCCCATGCTAAATTTTGCATGAGCAAGGCGAGAATTTGGTACGGGATCAAATTCGTTGTTTAGCTAAACGTTTCGATTTGAGTAGTGTATTAGTTTAATGGATTAGTTGATTGAAAAGCTATGGTTTTATTTACATAAAATCCATCCTTGTTCGTACCCCACAGCTATTAAGTTAGCTACGTTAGCATCACTAAAATGTAAATATTTGACCTTTTATTTTCTTATTTTTCATTTTAGGGTTCCTGTTACTTGCCTCCTTCAACAAACTTCACCGTTTCTCTTTCTTCATTAAAGCTCTTAAAGAAAAAAGTAAGAAAAATGCTTTCCTTTCAATTATAGGATGTGTTAATACACAAACCCCTTTCATTATTTTTCCATCTAAATTTAATTATGTTACTAGACATCACATGTTTCTTTCTTTTCTTTCAAATATTAGTACGTGAGTATTAGTTTGTAATGACCTTTCAATCTAAAAATGCAACACAAAAATTGAGTTTACGGCTAATAGATATTGTTCGTTTCGGTCCGTTACATATCACCGTTAGCTTCACAGTTTTATAAAGAACGTAGAATCTCACACAAACTATTCTCAAAACTAGAAGAAAAAGACGAATAATGATGAATTAAAGAGAAATACAAGTACAAATCAAAGGGTGTGGGTGTATATTTTGAGTAGTCTATGATGTCCACCAACCATAGAAGAGAGGCAGACAAATTAATACATACGGAGAAGGAACTGAAAAGCATTTGTAAAGGGAAAATTTAATGAGAGTTTGAATGGACAAGACAGTTAGTTTTTGGTCAAATTAAGGTATTCTACTTTTTGAAATAGAGTTCGTAGAATGTTGTTTAAGACTGCATGTCCCAACTCCCAATACGTATTATTTTAAAATGGTAAGCTTTTTAATAAAATAAAAAAAAACAAATAAATAATGTAGTGTCATCTGCGTACATACAGTAGTTACTATAGTATAGTAATAAAAGGACAAGAGAAAACATCCTTGTTTTTCTTATTCTGTCATCCTTCATTTAATTTTGTATTGCATAATGCCACGCCCTTCTTCTTTTTTATATTTACTCAGATTGGGCTTTTCAGCGACCATGTTTCCCACTTTTCTCAGATAACGTTCTTCCCTCTCTCTCTCTTATAGTTCTTTGTTGCTGTGGAGAAAGGAAGAAAGAAAGAAAGAAAGAAGGAAACATGGGGAGAGCTCCTTGCTGCGACAAGGCCAACGTTAAGAAAGGGCCATGGTCCCCTGAGGAAGATGCCAAGCTCAAGTCTTACATTGAGAAACATGGAACTGGTGGTAACTGGATTGCTTTGCCCCAAAAGATTGGTAAAAATTTCATCTTTTTGGTTAAAAACTCTTTTGGTTTCTTGGATTTGTGGTTTGTGAAGTTAATTGGGGTTAAGAGTTGACTGTTTTTGTGAATGGAAAAAGTAGGGCTTAAGAGATGTGGCAAAAGCTGCCGGTTGAGATGGCTCAACTATCTGCGTCCAAACATTAAGCATGGAGGCTTCTCTGAAGAGGAAGATAGAATCATTTGTAGCCTTTATGTTAGTATTGGAAGCAGGTGATTTTATTTCTCTATTTCATTCAATTTTGATCAAACCCCAAATCATTTCATCAGCTTAATTAGGGTTTCTTTAAGTTTCAAAAGGGAAAGAAATACACCTAAATCATTCATCTCTCTTCCATTAATTTCGATAATTTGTTGTCGTATTGATTTTCAATTTTTTTTTTTAATTTAAGTTTTTGGGTCGAGTGGTGATTTAGTAGATGAACGACGCACGAACCATTTCACGAGGGTTTTCTCTTCTTACATTACAAATACAAATATAATACGGGGTTTTGGATCTGTTTCAAGTTTTTTTAATTATGTGTATCTTCGTCCCCCCCCCCCCCCCCCCCCCCCCC